AGGGTTGCCTACTCTGGGGATCAAGAGTAGTGATCCCAAAGTCATTGCAGGCCCAAGTTCCTGGTGTTCTTCATGCCAGCCACCCGGGTATCGAGAAGAGCAAGATGATTGCCAGGAGCCATGTTTGGTGGCCAGGCATTGACAATGATATTGCCAACAGCGTGAAGAGCTGCACTACGTGCCAGACTCAACATCGAGCTGTACAGCCGGATTGATTTTGGGGGACCATTTCTAAGTCACACATTCTTGGTTATTGTGGATGCATTCTCAAAGTGAATAGAAGTCTTTCCTGTGTCTTCCACATCTGCAGCAGCTACCATTTCTGCATTGAGAATTGCATTCGCTCAGCATGGCCTGCCTGATGTCATAGTTTCAGACAACGGTCCTGCCTTTACCAGTGCCCAGTACCTTGAGTTCTTAACTCAAAATGGAATACGCCGCATGCTTGTACCGCCGTATCACCCTGCCTCAAATGGTGCAGCTGGAAGAGTTGTACAAACTGTGAAGAACAAACTTAAAAAGTCTGGTTCTGGGAACTTCCAAACACAGATCTCCAGGTTTCTGTTCCACTATAGGACCACACCACATGAAGTGACAGGTCGGCCACCGTGTGTTGACAAGAAGAATGTTCAAGACTCAGTTGGATGTCCTCAGGCCAAGCATGCAGGCATCTGTATTCCTAAAACAACTCAAGCAGAACTTGTATGCTGACAGAGGGTCCCGGCAGGCTCCATCACTGCAGCCAGGTGATGATGTGTATGCGTAAAACTTTCGCAAGGGCCTGCCAGTGTCGTGGACGTCACTCCATCATCAGCCAGTGTCCGTTTTGAAGATGGCACCTTGGGAAACCAACACAGCGACCACTTACGCCTTGTGCAGACAGAAACATTGGCCTCTCCTGAAACTGCTATCGCTGCAGCTCCACCACAGTTGGAGCCGCCGCTTCATCATATGCCAGCTGTTCCAGAAGTGCCTCATCAGGAACAGCTACCTGGAACTAGCTTCTCTGGGAGTAGCTGTGCCACGGAGAGCGACGGGACTGCGCTCAACAGTGGTGTGCATGTGAACAGCGACTCTGTCGTGCCTGCGCCTAGCACGCCGAAGTTGCGAAGTGGCACAAGAACTCGGAAACCGGTGAATAGGTACTCCCCGTAGTCTTCATCCTAAGAGGGGAGGAGTGTTACAATGTTGGTTCAAATGCAGCGCCCGCACGCGGCGCTGATAGTTGTGTTGAGCTGTGCAAGCCTGGCACAGCGGCGGGGTGGCCGTTTTGGAAACAATAAACCACAGTTCGTTCTGAGCTAAGGGCTCAACATGTTCTCGTGTTCTTCGCGGGCCTGATGGCCTACTGTTCACGGTAGTCACTACTGCCTGGCCATCAGTTAATCTACACATGTAATACTTTTCTTGAAAAAATTAGAAAACATCAGAGGTCTGCAAATATTTTTAATGCCAAATATACTTTTTGTGAAGTAAATATTCAGTACTCTCAAATATTCACAGAATACAATATTATAAAGGAAAATATGCAAACATAGAGCATTTTGGAAAACTTTTTGGAGGCGTGTATGACTGAAAAATAACAGTAATAATACATAGTGTTCATGTGATGTCACTTCCGCCATCGACGCCCTCTCTTGCCATGCCCGGGTACCTCCCCGAGTACCTATGGCAGTTTGCGTGCTGCAGCGCGATTTGTTGGGGGATTGTCATCTGTTGCTGTGTACGATGTTAAAAGGGAAGCATTGTGGTTTTTCGTTGTCATACTTAAACGAGCTCATCAGATCATGAAGGCCTCGTTTGTTCACTCGATACAAGACCAGAAAATCAAGATGTGCGACACGTATACCAGCCATCGCATACACTGGCTGCCTGCCACGACCTACGAGGGCCCATTATCTCGGTTTCACTACGAACACTACAAATTGCGTGGCCCAAGAACAAGTGAAAGCTCAAAGTCTCTCGAGCCACAATTTTAAAAGTGGATGAGCGAAGCACAGCAGCTCCCATCGAAAACGATGAGAGCTGCTGCGGCCAGCTAGGCAAGTTTACAAGAGATATAATATTAATATCATTATATTGCTGCGGCCCACGCCACCAAAGTAGCAGCGCTCCCCCACCCCCCCTCCACCCAAGTGTTTTAAACAGTGCTCGTCTTGAGCCTCTTTCATTGAAATTTGTGGAAACAGCCAAGGAAAATATTATAGTGAGGCAGATAGATACTTCGCGTGGTTCGTGCCGCAGTAATGCCGGTCATCACTTTTTTTTTTTTTTTTTCGCTTGTTTTGACACCTTTTTCACCTTGTATTTTACATTTTTGTATGATAACGTACACTGAAGACCCTGAAAATGATGGAGTTAGGGAATTGACCAATTTTTCAAAATCCTGATCCCCTAACTTGAACCGATCGGCTATACTTTCAAGTGAACTAATATTGTTTCGCATCCCTTTTCAGAGTTTGTTTCAATGCAATACCCGAATTCCCCCGATCGCCATCACGATTTTAACCGCCTCCCTGACACGGTGATTGTGTACGCAGTGGTCGCGGACAAGTTTGTGTGTACAGTATCTTGGTAAGCTATTTGTTTGCAGGTAAGTTCTTGTCTATGGCACTTACCCAAAACCGGAATGAAGTTACACCTGAAGACAGAGTTTCTTCAAGTAGTTTTTTTTGTTAATCCAAGCCAGCGAAACACGCCAGTACTTTTCGGAAAATCGCAATGTGCGTTCTCACTTTTATAGGTAATAAATTTCAGCGAAGAAACACCCCAAAGCTCTGCTCCCTCTTCGGGGACTACTAAATCAACTTGCCTCACTAGGAGTCCTCAAACTTGCGTCGTGAGGCAAAACTAAATGGGCGCAAGCACGAGGAGACAACACGGCAGCTGTAGGCGACGGAGTTGGTAGGTACCTGGGCATGTCGGTGGCGCACTTCGGAAGTGACGAAGGGGCGCTGCATGACGCACATGCACACTATGTATAGTGACCTTCAAACAGTTTGGACAAACCTCTTCGCCGAACATCTGGGCCAAATTTGGTATTGAAACAGGAAACTACACCCTAAGAATAAACTTTTTCATAAACATCACTTGGGCAACATTCTGCAAAATTTAAAAATGCAATACATTTTCCCCCTTGAGATGATCGCCAAAATGGCTGAGACACATGGCTGGTATACTATTCCCCAAGCCCTTATAAATAATGCCTGACTGGGGACCTTGGTTGGTTTTGCATTCTAATGACTCATGACTGATGAACCAGAATTCGTGGAACCTTGCCACATGCATGACGAGTAGGTTGGTCGACCTCTCTTCGTTCACCGCAAAGAACGACATCTGTCAGTGCGTGTGCAGATGATTTGAGCCAAAGTGCCACCTGACAAATTATACAGAGCAAGCTATCGAGTTCCACACAGCAGATGGCATTCACTTTGCACGTACAGTGGATGGATTCACTGGCATGGCGCACAAGTTTTTCTGCATCTCACAATAAACAGTGGCTAGGTGGAAAGACAGATAGGTATACATTGAGTAGTGCCTGTTTTCTAAATGAACAGCAAGGACAGCAACGTTTGTAGCCAAGTACTAGATTGGCAAAGTTATTCAAACAATGTTTGTTTAACCTCATCACTTTATGCTTACTGCACTGTTGAAATGAACTCCACTGATGCTAAGGATAACACGGCAAAAATGCACTGAAATGTAGATGGTTTACGGGGTTGAGCATGTCGAACCAATTCAGCCTATGAGAAATGCTGCAGTGTCGGGTGCTGGTTGACTTCAATCGTGTGGGGTAATCGTGCACATGATGACATGGCCTCTAGCATTTCACCACCATCAAAGTGCCATCGAACCCACATCTTTCAAGTCGGCAGTCGAGCCCTGTACCCCCACAGCGGATTGTTGCGTAGCATTAATGACGCATCGTATGTGCACTGGGGATGGTGTCAAGACAAGAGATGCTTGCCCTACCAGGATGAATCGTGAACTTGCCCTTCAAGTGTTATGTGCTTCATTTCCCCAGCTTGTTGTACATGAGACAATTTGGCCAATGCAAAGTTCAGGAAGCTAAAAGTTCAGGATGCTATGAGATGGAAAACTTGCACCAACCTTCAACAATGCAGAGCTGTTGAACGGGCTATGCAGCAAAACCTAAGTGTACCACGATTCCACTAAGGTACTCAGATCAGCTGACATGCACAAACAGATGAATCAATAAAGCTCTCCAAATTAGAGAACACAAGCTTTGTGCAATCATTTTTAACAGCAAGTTTTTCATGGTCAGTTCTTATGTGAACATATTCAAGGTTGCTACTATGTAATCAGCCAACTATACACCAAAACATTGGCGTGTGCTGGCACTGCTTTTGGCATTTGGGAAAAGATGCCGACTGTGTTAGCCCACTTAAATAAAACACGGGCACAGTTTATGACAGCACAGCAACACTTACATAGGGCTGATGCATGTTAGCTAGCATTTCGCTGAAAGGCCAGCAGTGCATTGGCCATCAGAGATCAAAGGCTGAGCACTGCACACCTGCACTGATTTCATGCGTGTCCCAACTTACACACCAGACATTCCACACAAGCAATGCCACACCTTTCCCCACAAGCAAAATGAACTAGTCCTCGCCATTGACTAAACACTGCGTGTTGGCATTGCACTTCCCACAAAAACTGTCAGCACACAAACCTCGTAGCTGCTACCTTCATCAGTATTGACAAATTTTGCATCGCCCTCTCAATTTTGTGTAACTCGCCAACACTAAAGGTACCACTTGCACATGTAGTTTGTTATTTATAGCACATCAAGGAAAACCTGTTCACCAATTCGTCCGCTTTTCAAGCATTTGAGAAACCAGGCAGTATTGCAGAAAAGAAGCAGACATTCTGTGGTCGTGGAACAAACAGAGGCTGAAGTGAGTCAGACGCACTAGCTGGTTGTTCCATGGCCAGTGCACAATGCAAGCTTGTATCCGCCTGTAAACGAGCGTACGCACCTCTTTCGTGGTCTTTGTCCCGATCTTTGAGCCTCTGGTTGTACGACGATGATTTGTGGTAACGTGGGCTGTGTCGGCTGTCGGGGCTACCCATCCGGCTATGGCTACCATTTGAAGGCGATTCGCGCACTTTGTCGTTGTATCGACTTCCAAGGTTGGACTTTGAGCTGTACTTGCTCGAGTTCTGCACAGCACACGTTGGACAGTCATTAGTCCCACGCGATTACGCGGAGAAATATCGCGACCAGCCACGTTTTAAGAGCAGGCGCAGTCAAACGAAGGCTGTCAGCACGAGCGCGGTTTCAAAAGGCGAGAAATTCTCACTTCGGCTAAAAAACCAAGCATTCAAACAACGAAAAGTATGGCACACACACACAAAAACTGGCTTCTATAATCCTGGAATGATTCAGTCGTATAAAGTGGCGGTTTCACAGGTGAAGTACGCACAACGATGTAGGGGTATTGCATTTAGACCACTTTAAAACAAAACGCGGAGGCTGATGCGGACTACCTTGATTTCCCTTTAAACATTCGTAAGAAATAGCCAACTAACTGATACAATTTGCACATAAACGTCACCAATAAAAAAAATTTACGTAACGCAGAAAAACCTGCAGACACAAACCTCGTACGGATGGGCCTGAGTTCTGTCAAAATACCTGGAAAGGCACAAGACAACAGCGTTAGGACACAAGTTGCTGTGACATTTGGCGCTCTACGCAAGGCAAATTTTAAAACATTGTAGCACAAGTGGCGCAATATGAGCAAATATTTTGACAACAAATGAACATGGCGCCAGCACAGAACACATCACTTTACGAAGGCCAAGTGAACCCGTTCCTACCCATCGCTGAGCCTTGGAAGTTTCCTTGCATGCATTACCATTAATACTAGGCCAATTGAGAACTTTATGGTCAGAAAATTGACGTATATTAAAGCCTATATTACAGTTTATCGGGACCATAAGAACACTAGCACATCAGGCACATAATTGGACGCCATGACACATCCGGGGCCGATGCTTTTGATTACGCGGAAGGACGTCATCAAAAAAAAAAAAAGCACGAACACTGGTATTTTTTTATATTGTAACTGTGAGTACTAAAAATTTTAAACACACACAATAACAACTTTTTGTCTGCATAGCCACTTTTTTGGTAATGTTTCACCGCGGCTATTGCTTTTCTAGTTATTATTTCAAATCTTAAAGGCTATGCTTTTGAGCAATGCATTTTCCCAACTGAATTGCAAAAACCAAAATTTTTTTCAAGCAACTTCGAGTATGATTACTTTTTTTTATTTTCATTGGAACTGTTTTCATTATTTGACCAGTTCTGTCACCCTAAGTAGGTAACAAGAACAGTTAATATATTTACTCTATTATGACGAGAACGACAAATCGCGACATGCAAGGAATGCGACTTCACAAGTTCTAAAAGCAACGTTCTGAAACAAGCATGGAATTTCTCCCAAAATCACCTAGTGAAAAATATAACTCAACCATTTATGCAATTTTCTTAAGGGACCTCGGCATCGCGCTGCCAACGATAGATGGATGGATTAAATGGAGTGATATGACTGTACCCTTTAGATTGGACGGCGGCTAGCGCCACTTAGCCGTAATACCTGGTGAATAAAAACTACATTTATCTTTTTTTTCCTTTAAATGGTGAAGTTAAGCACTGGCACTTTGCAGTGAAGGATCTAATTTTCACTTGGGCCTTGATTCTAGCCACCAATTAGATAACCTCCTTCTAGTTATTTTTACTCGCTTAACGTCTTTTTCGCCCTCGCTGTCCCTAAACACCAGTGCTTTGAAAAACTCTGCGCCATCATCTTGAACTGTAGAGTGAAGCCCTTTACAGAACACTATCAGGTATTCGGCAGTTTCCTCCTCCTCTCCGCAGGCGTAGGATACGAACGAAGAACGCGCGCGAGCGATGGTAGAGGCAGAAGACGACGATGGTGAAGATGTAAAGTGCATCAATTCTTGGCCGATCCCCCCGAGTGGGTGGTGGGTATGAGCCATAGCTGTGGATTCATCATCATCATCAATTGCGAGAGCGCGAGGACGCGCGGCGAGACGTCAATAAAGCAAAAGAAATGATGTCCAATGATAAAGGAACACGGAGATTTCAAGGGCCAATCAGTGGTTAACGCGGCAACCCCGCTATCTCCAATGGGAAGCCGACGAGTGGATTTTGGGGACAGAGGAAGCTCAAGCCAAGAGAAAGCAGGGGATTTAGATGACGACGTGGCCAGCGGAAGGTCATCACCGGACCGCGCGCTGAAGATGGACCGTCGGGTGTTGAACCCGAGCCTCGAAGGATGCAATCGGCTGGGACCTCCTGCCGTTGCGTTCCCGCTCGAGAGGATCCGGTCTTGAACTCCAGCACAGGGCCTGTGGACTTCGGTGCCAACAGGCGAGCAACAACCGTCGAGCTATAGTTACGGGCCCGAGACATATGCGCCCAGCTGCCTGGCCAGATTGACCCTGGTTTCTCGACGCCTCGCCAGCAGCCAGCGTTCCCCCAGCCAGCCCGCGTCATAAAGCCGGAGTCATCGTGTTTCGGTTTACTCATCGTCGTCGAACTTCAACGTGTGGGTGAGGCTGCACTGATCTTTTGCCCTACTCCACCGCTTAGCCGCATTCGGAAGTTAGATTTAGTTGAAGACTTAACTTTCTTGTTGGGTGTTTATAGATGTGTTTCGTCGTGTACAGTGAACTTTTTATTAATTTTTTCGTTGTGTGGGGATTTCCGGTTTTTTACTTTTAATTTAAACATTTTGTGGGGGTTTTGGTAAAAACCAACGGCTTTGTCCTTATTACTAGAGCTCTCCGAGGTCGGCCCAGGAGAGACATCAGTAAGAAGCTGCATCACAGACTCGACTGCAGAGTGAGCGGTTGCGCGCCCAACCCAGCGCGCTCGCCTCGGCGGCGTGTTGTGCACGTTCATGGCACGCTCTCGTGCGTCGTACACCAACTCATTCGGATTACTGCGCTTCATCGAGGGTCAAGATGACAGACGAATCCAAAGAGGAAACCGCAACCCCTTCCTAAACATCTCGGCCTGCGGCCGTCATTCTAGCAGCCGCCACCGTGACCACCACCAGCTCAGTGAAAGCCCTCCTGGATGCCCAACAACTGCTGGAGATCTATAAACGGCGGCTGACTTCAACAGCAAGCACAAGAGGTCAACTCGACGGCTTCCGACCACGTCGCGCCTGCCCCTTCCACGACGACCAGCAAGCAGAGACACCTCAGACATGCTTGCCCTCGAGACTACAGGGGACATGGACACCTCCGCGGTCTCGTGAAAGCGAGTACCCGAGCAGAACGAGGGGCTCACAACGGCGCCCGATAAGTCCCGCCTTGCGCGGAACATCGCGACGACTCCACAAGAACTCGCAACACCTACACGACAGACCGCAGTTCTGAGACAGCGCGGGAACCTCACCAAATTTAGGCTCCCACCGCGACTGTTCCTGCTCCGGCCCTGAGGAAGCCGAAAGCTCTGAGCTCGCAGCGGAAGCAGCACCGAACCTCTGAGGCACACACAGCAGAAGCCCCCTGCAGCATCGGTGCCTCAGGGTTTTACCGTCACCGTACCGAGCCTGTGCCCAAGCCCTTCCGCCGATGGAGACCACAGAACTGGAGACTTCATCACCATCGCACAGAACACCTACCACTTTACCATCGTCTCCAAGGCGGCACAGCCAGAGGAGTGGCGTGTCCATAAAGCCAATGGGGACGAACACGGAGAAAGTGGGGACGAAAATTAGGCGCTTTGATTGCGCCGTCTGGATTGCGGCGGCAGTTGTACAAACATTAAAAAATGTTATCTTACTGACAACTAAACAAGTTTTTATCATTTTTCGCACTCAAATAGGTTTTTTAAACAAATAATAACTAAAAATATTGTTTGTACAATTTATAGTTGCGTATAAAACGAAAGTGGTTTCAAAGCACCAGGGCGTTTTGACATGGCGCCTGGCCGGTCGCATAGCAGACTACATAGTTTCCCACAATACTTACTAGAGGGAACTCTGGCGCTAGTGTCTATGGGAGCTGCAACGGACGGCGCTTCAGCGAGCATGGGAATGATGGGTTGTACACACATTTGTCTAATATTCGTACTTCTTGGAGCTGTTTTCTTACGAAACAAGTATTAGGAAATGTTCAGCGGTTGCGTTTCACCATTTTATTTTTTTAGACTTACTTTCCAAATTGGCTCACAAAGTTCAAAAGCATTCAATCTTTATTTCAAAACAAAACCGAAACACAGCAATAAACAAAGCCGCAAGTACGATTCACCGCCCGCAAGTACGAAGACTAGGCAATTGTGTGTGCTACCCACCCAAACCTTTCCTTACTCCGTGTACCCATCATTCCCACGGAGTGCATCATTCCCATGGTCGCTGAACGATCGCAGCGCCAGAGTGCCCTCTAGTTAATTTTGAGAACCTCTATGGCAGACTACACCGTCGTTAGCCACCCTACCGTCGTTGTCTGCTGAGTCACAGCTGTCCCCCGCGCGAGTTTACAAAGGCGAGCCAATAGATCCCCCCCCCCCCCCCCCCCACTATGCACTGCGCCAGGCGCTCTTACGAGGCTCTCGGAAGCTGCGCGCTCATTGGTTCGTTGCGTGATGTCGTCAGCAAACATGGCTGCGCTCAGGACGATGCTGCAGAGCACGGAGGAAGGAAACGTTTTCTTCCTCCGTGCTGCAGGGGTTCGCGTGTCGGACGGGGGCACAGCTGATGAAGACGCCGCGACGAAAGCGAGAACAAAGTTGACGCTCGTACGCGTACTGGCAACCCGCCTACGATGAATGGGAAGACTGCGCTATCAAGTAGTTGGTGCTACCAAGGTGCTACAGAAACGTTGTGCGCACTGCTGCTGCTGCTGAAAAACATTTATTTACAGCTGTTATTTACCGGGAGGGTGGGAACGGTCCTTAAGGGGCCGCCCCGTACAAACACTAGGTGGGCTCCCCCATTGGCGTTGGCCGCGGCACGGGCACGTTCGGCCAAGGCCCGTTGGGCCGTCAGGTCAGAGCAGCCGAGCAGGGCTGCCTCCCAGTCCTCCCGCGAAGGGTTGGGTAGTGGAGTAAGGTTTGGGGTTTTTTGGCATGCCCACACCATGTGGAAAATGTCAGAAGAATTTTCCTCACAATGCGGGCACTTCCCCGTGCAAGCGGGGTCAAAATGTTTTATGATTGCCGGGCACAAGAGAGTTTTGGTATAAAGGCGAAGGAGGATTCGCTCCTCCGCCTTCATGAGGCCCTTACAGGGTTTCGGATAGACGTTATGGCCGGATTGATAAAATTGTGTGACCTCCTTAAAGGTGTAGGCGTGATTGGGTTCGAGTTCCGGATCGGTAGGGGACGAGGATGGTGCCCGGAGAGTGAGCACGCGGGCGGCGGCATCGGCCGTCTCATTACCATCGAGGCCCGTGTGAGCCGGAGCCCATATGATCGTTCGGTGTGCGGGGGCACCTAGGCAGCTGCTGTTCTGCAAAATTTTATAAGCACGGTACGGAATGTATCCCTGTTCAATATTGCGACAGGCACCCCTTGAGTCGGTGATGATGACCCTCGAGTCCTGATCTGCGGCGGCTAGTGCGATGGCGATCTCCTCCGCGTGCGTAATGTTATGTGCACGGAATGTGAGTCCGTTTACAACAGTATTTTGGTGGACGACCGCAGCCGTGTACCAACCACCGTGGTGCGGGCCGGAGGCGTCCACGTAGAATACTCCTAATTTGTGGCCGTAGTGTCGAGCCAAGGCTTCCACCCGCGCGAGGCGTCGGCCACTGTAGTCGTCTCGGGTCATGTTAGCCGGAAGAGGGCGCACGTGCAAGGAGTATCGCCAAACTTCTGGAATCCGTACGCGCTCTTCCGTGTGTATTGAATGATTGATGTGTAGCCGGGCAAGGAGGCGGCGACCCGACGGTGTTTTAGAGAGTCTAGTATATTGGTTTGTCAAGTGCGCCTCTCTCAGCTCCT